GCTTTTAAAATTCCTAGGTGCGATCCGCGTGCTAAGTGAAAAGTAATACCTCGAAGTTTTCTAATTTCCGATTACGCTGTAAGACACACAATGTCGCGTCCAACTGTTGAAAAGAATAAGAATGACATTGGAAAAATAAAAACGAGAGAAATTGATTAAAATAATTACATAATGTAGTCTTTTTGTGTTTGGAGCATTTCGGAGCAAGCTACAAGTAAATATTGTGCACACCGATAGTATATAACAATTTAAATTGAAAATTGCCACATTTCACATCAAATTCTATATTTTTGAAACAAGAAAAAAAAACAATGTATATGTATATTAACAAAAATTTGGAAAACTGCAAACGTAACGCGCATGGCGAATGATCAGTGTCTGAAAATTCGGACGAGAAAAGCGGAGTCTCTCGCGGTCGTCCTTCTTCTCGTCGTCAACGTTGACGTCGACCTGGTCTCTCGTCGGGACCGTGGCGGAACTTTATGCAAATCATCGGCGGAAGTATATCAGCATCAACGGCACCCCCGTCGCGTCCACGCCGCGTCGTCGTTTTACTTTTGCGTTTCACGCTTTTACGGACTTTTCCCTGAGATGACCCACTTTGCGTTCTCTCGGCGATGGAAAACTACGCCCTACAACGATGACGACGACGACGACAACGACGACGACGTCGGCGCCGCCAGACTCCCCTCGTTTTATTTTATCTTTGTCTTGCTTCTTCCCTTCCTCCTTCCCTCCCCTTTCCCCCTCGACGTCGTTTCCCGTCCGACGTCTTCCACTGTCGCCCCCTTTTTCGTCTACTTTTGTTAACGTCCTTTGTCCGAACGTCGTTACAACGTAAAAAAGGGGAAAAAAGCGCGCGCGCGCGACGACGGGACGGGACGAATCCGAGGAAAAGAAGGGAACCGGGGACCGCTTGGAAGTTTCGCTTTGCTCGTTAGCGCAGAATAAGATTTCGTCGTCGATGAACAAAGTAGACACGAGTCCAAAGTAATTACGTTTGAGACGCCGCGCCGCGTACTTTACGAGAGGAAATCCGTCTTCGCGTGTGCCACGTCGCCCCCGGTCAAAGAGGCGAGGGAGGGGTGGTCCCGGGGCCATTTAAGGCCCGGACGGTAATTGCACCGTCCCTGTGAAAACGGTGCGAGAAACAATGCGGAATTCACACATCGCGAAATTGGCTGGCGGCCTCATTATCCCGTGTACACTAGGCGAAGGCACGGCAACGGTAACGATTGATGTCGAAAGGGTGAGAGGAAGGAGGATTCGGGGAGGACACGGCCATCGGGAGGATTAATAAATCACTGCTTAACCCTAGCGCGGAATGGTAGTTACGGAGGTTAAGCTGACCGGATTTTTTAATTACTAAAGCCGGAAGACCGATGTACTTTAGGGCCGTGTATCTTGGAGTAATCCATCGTAAAAAGCGAAAAGAGAAACGAAGCGATAAAATTCAACAAACACAAATACACGTACATAATATAATGTACTTTTTTGTTTCAATTTCATCGCGTACATACTTTCCCATATTTTTAGTTATTTAAATGTCTTTTTTTATCTAATATTTAAAATTTGTAACGTTATAGATGCCATTTTGCCCGTAAATACCAATATGACGCAATAATAGAATTTACAATTATAATTATAAATGTCAATGTATTATTAAAAATATCGGTATTGAATATTGCACGCGTATATCTGTATTAAAGAGAGATTCATAAATCATTTAGCTCGCGCAGCAGCATTCAGCGAAAATGCGACACAACATGATTTCGAATGAAAAATAACATTGATCGCATTGATATATATGATAAGATAATGTAGCTAAAATTAGCCATAATAATAACAATTATATGCGCGCGTGTATCAATCCGGTCGTTAATAAATATAAAAATTAATATATTTTAACATTGCGGAAGAGTCATAAATCATCGAATGAGTCATAATAACGTTTTTATTCAACGATGCGCAACATGACACGAGTGGCGAGCGCGTAAAGTTGAATACGTGTGTGTATAAAAGTTAACTTTTTAAATTAAAATATTTAATATTACGCGTCGTAAGATTCATGAATCATTTAATGCGACTGCAGTGCGCAAAAATGTGACGCGAGACAAAAAAATATAATAATACCGGCCACACGTTTCTGTACACGATGATGTAGCGTGCGAGAGAGAATTTATTCGCGCGATAATTGCGATTATATTATGTCCGCCCGCGTATTACGTTTATCGTAATCATGTTGATGGAAAAAATTTCCGATATTGATAATTATACGCGATATATCTGTCGCGCGCATTGTCTGAAATGTTATTTATTTTGTTACGCGTTTATGGGGCGGGACATCAAATTTAATATGAAAGCGTCCCGCGCGCGTTCCTATGTATAATAAAACAATGTTGCGGCTTTCGATATCACGGCACGAATTATTTTGAGCCCGCGCGTTTCATGGCGTTTCATTTGACGTAGATTAATATTTTCGGCGGAAAAATTTGTCTCGCGCAAATTTAATTTCAGAGACAAGAGTGTACATATTTTATATTAATCGACACAATTTCCTCTTTCAATCAAAACTCTGACGTATAAATATACTATGCATGAATAAAAAATATAACGTATAAATTATCAAAACTGCAAAATCTTTCTTAAAATAAATTGTTTTCAATATACAGAATGGCCATTTTGAATGACTGATATTTTCCGGAAACGGAGGTTTCTCTCTCGAAAAGTATTTCGTACAAAAATTTTGAGAAAAATTAATGTCATTTAAAATGTATCACCTTCTGTAAAACACGCGCCGAGAAGGAATTATAATAATTAAATATTATATAACAATTTAATATTTTAATAATGGAAAACGCGGAGGGACCGTAATATAACGTCTCGTAATAAAATGAGCATCAGAGTTTATAAACTTCATTTGCTTCATTTGAGAAATATAACGCATTTATGGTGACAAAATCGTAACGCCGGCTTCACGTTGAACATTGAATATTATTCTCCAAATTAATTTCGTTGTAGAACCAACGCCAATACAAGGACGAATGACGATGCCACGAGTACACCATACATACGAGATGACGCGCATACGTAAATAGTGACGATGATACCGACCAGATGATACGATCGAACTCTGTCCGTAAGATCGTAAATCTCGATGGTATCGCGCAGTCTTGGTAATTCGGAGCAATGCGACAGGGACATGAAACGCTAACGGCGCTAAAGCAACAACAATGGTCCGTCGATCTGCCTGTCATCGTGTATTAATAATTCGCTTTAAGTAACTTTACACATTCTGGCGCCCTACATTCGCGATATAGTCGTACGTTCCGTACGGCTGAAAAACAAGACGTCTACAAATTTCACGAGGGAGATAAGCCCGCCTTTAGACCACCGCACATAGCACAGGTAGGGTGAGAGAGCCTCGCGCGCGTTTTTTTGCATTATTAATAACATCCACTCGGTCCACGAGGGACCACGAGGGCGGTGAACAATTTGCGGACAGAAATCAGAAGGTTCGCCTCAGCCGACGTGCGATTCCGCATGAAAGACGGGGAGACCCGTATAGTACGGGGGATCGATCATCATTTTTTGTTCCGAAGTCAAACCTGATCTTTCACACGCGCGCCACGTCGAACGGCAGACGTAAAAAGGAAGCGTGTTACAGCCCTTTAACGTTGGCGAGCTTGGGGGAGAAGAGGCGGGAACGAAAGGGGGATGGGGCGACACCCCCGTCGCATTTTTACATGCCCCGGTAGCGCACGCCCGGGATCGTTTTATAACCTTCCACGTCCACCTCACGCTCGCGAACGTCTGTTTTACGCCCGTTTTATGCCCGCGCAAGCATCTGCAACATTCCTCGAGCGTTTATTTACGAGACACCGGGTACACGGGCGTCCCCGGGTCGAGGGTGGGTAAATTGAATACACGATGGGCCGAAAATGTCGCCCCTCTTTGCCCACCTGAAATCCAGACCCGCGCGTCTCAAAAATTCGGCCCGTCGACCGTAAATTCCGCGCGTCGCGCGCACGCTTGTCTCGCCGCCTTTCTTAATGCAAGATTTAACAAGATTTACCTGCATTTATGCGCATTTGTATGACGCGAGATAGAATAGTTAGTATGCGTTGGAGCGCATCGAAAATTATTTTAATGCGTTTTGGGCAATCGTTTTCCGCGAAATTGCGCGCTTCAAAAAGTTAACATGTTTCAGTGTACATTTAAACGATTAAACGTATTTTAAGATATTGTTGTTGCGTTTTCCTCCCTACAAAAATATTACAAATATTTAACGCAACATTTTGTTTGATTTATCCCGATAACATGACGAATTTTACCGGATTGGGAATTTTATAAAATTTTATTTATACTTGTACGCTTTCTTCGTCTTTAAAAATTGAGAGCTGGAACGGGCATTCTAGAGAAATATTTTTCGTATGCATCGAATTCGTCGATAGCATGAACTGTCTAACGCATTCCCGGCGAATATGCCAGCAATCGACACTAGAGATATAGATTACAAACAAAAAAAAAGCACACAGAGAGAGGGAGAGAGCAAAATGTATAACATGCGGATATATCGACTTTCCGCAATCTCTACCAACCATTTTTCTACGAAACGTATTTCGAGAACCGATGAAACGTGACGGACGTACCGACTACCGCGTTTGCGACTGGTATCGCAACAGATTTTTATAGCGGCTGCATCGGCGTGTCGCCGGCAATCCGCGCCTCGTCATTATCATCGCGTTGTTTATAATTAAATGCGGTGTGAACATAATTAAACGATTTAAATATTCACGCGCGCAATTACGATTCGCCAGCCAACGCTGTCGCCCATAAAGCGCGAATATAATCGAGGCTCGTTAATATTTTAGATTCACTGGTTTCATATAAAATTTAACGCCGCTCCACCTCTCGGGTATTAGATATCGACGCCGATTTCTAAGCGTGAAAAAAAAGGAACAAAGGGAGATGCACGTATGTGTATATGCGTGACTCACCGAGGCAGCAGACGTTTACTCTGGAATGCGACGAAACAGGGATCTCTGCTCCTCGACATCTTGAAGGACGAGCGTCTCTCCCTTTCGCATCTCTCGCTATCCTCGTGAGCGCGCATCGACATCTCCGTGGCAAATCCGACACTGAAATATTTCAAATAGCGTTAGCTTGTTATTAGCATTATTTATCACCCGAATAGATGCGATACGCCGAGCGCGTATTTATAAATCAAATGTCCGCGCGGAAGCGCAACACTCTGCGCCAGACATTGGAGCGGATTTATCGGCGATACCGACCTGAAATTCGATTGTTTCCTATCTTCTCGTCTCGATTCGTCTCGCGCGCGTGTATTCGTTATAGAGAAATGCGAGTAAAATATTCAAATTATTTCGCCCGTTGATAATTCGACCGGGCTTAAGCTCCGTCGCTCCTCCTCCCCTTCTTCCCGATTTCCGCATCGAAATTCGGGTAATTTCCGACACTACCCTAGAGTCCCAACCCGATAATCCTGAAAGGCAGTCTGGATTTTCGTAATGCGACCGACAGCACAAACGCAAACTCCGGAACGCGAGCTGATGCCTGGCAGTTCCGCGTCTTTTACTTATTTAACAAGACTACGACGAGAACGGAAGTTATACAGAGAGCGAAGGAGGATGAGAGAAAAAAAAGAGAGAGAGAGAGAGAGAGAGAGACAGCAAAAGGGAAACGGAAGAAATATTAGTGTCATCTTGACACGAATAAATTTCAAACTCTCGGTAGTTTGTATATCGATGAGAGATACTAGAAGCACGACCAAAGTTTTAATAAATGTTGTCATTAACGTCGGCGCGAACTCTTTATCGTAACGATTAATTAACGATGCAACGTTTCTGCCTCCCTTCTCTCTCCTGTCGTCCATTCACGTATAATTCGAAATAGCGATACATATTTTCAATTATGCTAAATTACGAGCGCGTCGACGCGTTCTGGTCCGCTCGCCCTGCGGCTCGTGCAATTTTGACAGAAGCGGAAACGGATTATCGCCAACGACGAACTTTCGCGCGACCAACGCGCGTATGACACGGGTATTTCGATTCGCCGAGGGCACGAGAGAGGAAGGAAGGACGGAATCAAATAACGCGCGTGTTACGTAAAGCCGCGTACACGCGTCGAATTTCACGCGCGAACTCGCCCGCTGTGTTTGTGCGTCGAATCAGCCCCCAAAAACATTTCGCAATATCGCTTCGACAAACTTTATGCACGTCAGCGGATTAAGCGCGCCGAATCGCGAGTCAATCGCCAGCGATATAACTGTAATACATCAAAGCGATTTGTCCGACGAAACTCGCGGTTTGTCGGCGGTATAGTTTCCTAGAAAACGATAAATTAGTTCTGGCGCAAATTTGCCAGGAATAATAATCGTCGATAATAGCGAATAATAATCGACCCTGCGAATCATCAAACGAATAAACTTTGCAATAACATTCTATACATATTAATATATCGTTACTCTAATGTATTTGATGTTTAATATTTATTATAAATAGATTTCTGTCTTGGATTTATCACGAATTTTATCAGTCGTTTAAAATGAAAATTTATAGCATACGAAATAAAAAACATGTTTTTCCAAGATCATTTTTAAAGGGAAGAATAAATTACATACACGTAGAAATGATTTTCAATCTTTTTTTCAAGCATCTCATCATATTCCTTGTAATTTTCTATTAATATGAATAAAAAATTCAAAGGGATACGAGCATGAGAAACTGAAAATAATTGTCACGTGTATAAAAGTCGAATCGAAAGCGATTTTCATGAAAATGAGAGAATTATAAATCTTGACGGGACGCGTCGCAAGGATCGTAATGCAGATTGACAAACTTGAAGGCTTTCGGTATCGCGCTTGTCGATGCGCAAAAGTCGCGGTACGTACACACGTATCGCAGGATTCCCGGTCCTCGCGCGAGCGAGGGTTAACATGGCGGAAAATGTTAGACAACCGCAGCGCGGTTAGACCGCGCAATGTTGCAACGATCTGTCTTCCACGATCCATCAGAACGGGCAGGGCAATGGCGAATAGGCGAATCCGTGCTCCGTTTAACCGACGCAACAACGACGTTACTTTCGTCGCCACGCGACGGATAATGTACGGCGGCTATTACACGTACGCGACGTAGCTGTGTAACTCGCGGCGGATTTTGGAGCCGCGCGTTTGTTTCGAAAGTAAATCAAATTTCGGTAGCACAATACTCTCCGTCCCACCGTCGTTTATAACGCTAAATGCGGCCATCTGATGCCGCGATTTATTTGCCTGATATGAAGATCGGGCATTCGATGTCGACCGCCGGCCGAGAGTGATATCGCCGCATTTAACTTTAAATGCGGGATGTGGACGCGAACTAATGAATTTAATTCCTTCCGGTCCTGCGAATCCGATTAATGTTGCATGCGTTATATCTGGCGTATGCCCGATTTAGCCGGCTACAAAAACGATCAAAAATACCCCACGCGTATCACATACACGCGTGCAACGTTATCTCTCCTCCCGTTAATATTATATTCGATGCATATAAATGCGACTCTTCCATTTGTCTCGTAATTACGTCTTTATAAACTGTTGATTTATTTTTCCAATATTTTTTTACGTATCTTTATCCTTTTTTCGCCAAACGGTCCGTTGATTCCACTATTAACTAACCAAAGTCCGGTATTGAATACAGATCGATTCGATTCATCCGCTTTAACAAAGTTTCGGGGCGATTTACGCGGTTTTCAAAACGAACGGGCCGTTTATGACACGCATAATGATCGATTTCCTCCATTTGCCGGAACAAAAGATCAAAATTCGGCAGTCGACGGTGATAAAAGTGATTCGAACGAAGGGAAATGTATATTACAACGAATCAAGCACCCTATTTATTACGCAACCGAACCGACTATGATGCCGAAATAAAACGCCGGCCGGCCGGCTACAAAAACGCGGAAATTATTACGTCGTTCGTCCGTACAGAATGGACGCTGCACGCTCGCTCGCATATTTCTGTTTTGCGTACCTTCCTAGGGTGTTTTATCGTAATAAAGTTTACGCATCGCGTCGAGATGGAAAGCGATGTCGAGCTACGTATTATGGAAACTCGCGCGAACATTCCGATTCTCTTTCTCTTCCCTTAATAAGAAAAATTGTCGCGAATGAGAGAAAAATTTGCTCGATATTATCGCGCCGCGTGACGTCTAGACACAAATCCTAAATATAATAGATAAATTCACGAATCTATAAATTATTGTGCTCGATTTACATACAAGTCATTTTACGTATATGTGTGTAGACCTATAAACCTATCGTAAATTATCGAGTCCACGCAAACTTCATTCGTTAATAGTTTGACAAACTACGCGCGAATCTATACGTTGTTAAAGCCACAGATTGCTTTATGAATACATGGACAAAATTATGGATCTTATATTTGCAATCAGATATATATATATGTATATAAAAGTATATAAAAATTAAATTCTAACGATAATATTTTCAGAGACAAATTAATATTCAAATGGTCGAAATATGTATATTGTAGGATAATTTGACATGCAACGTTGCGCGTTTATATTCGTCCAAGTGACACTCGACCAATTGCATTTAATTTGTGAAAATCAGAAATATCCATTTCTCGTTTCTATGAAACTATCTTTATCGAAGCTTTGCTTAAAACGAATATCGATTGTTTTAATTAATTGGAATGTATCGGAACGTACAACTTTTGCCTGCGCGAAAAGTTGTTGCCCGCTGCAGCAATATTTAACTTAAACTTGCATGGACTACATTCGACCGACACTCGTCGAGGCATTGTTCGAATTTCTGCGAGTACAAAAACTTGTAATGCAAGTAACTTCTCGCACAAGTCTCGGCGCTAGTTATTCTTCTGTGTTTTATCAAAGCTGAGATTGGAAAGTTGTAAGGGGGAAAAAAATAAAAACGCCCGGCCGTACTTGATAAGAATCTGAAACAGTTTTCGTGTAACGTACATCACGATGGAACGAGCAATAACAATGACGTAGAAATTCTTGAAGGAGCATGTAATACCGTGTATGTAATACCGCTCGTTACGAAATAACTCCTTTCGTACAACTGTTTTATAAGCCGGAAGCTTTTATACAATTTACGTTAGAATTATATCGACGAGAAAAATGAGGACGAGTTTATTTCGAGAGAATCGTTATAAGAAATATAATTTCCGATATATTTAAATTTTTATTTAATTTTAATGCAATGTAATGCAATTTAATTCGAATGTTTTAATATCACCGAAAATTTTGTTCCATCAACACTGGAATGGCATTACTGATATCGTATGTATTTCGCGATTTTATCGATTCGGCCGTTAATGGTATTCAATTCGCCGCGAGTGATGGCGAGTTACACAATGACGTGGTAAAACGTGATCAACGTGATGAAATCGAAAGATTGTGACGTATGTATAACATGTATTAAGATGCGCGGCCAAAAAAAGCGCACGCTCGATATTTCACGTCTCGGCGACATTATAAACGCCGTCGACGAAACGAAGAGAGTAGATAAATTGGGGAAAAAGATTTCTCGTCGCGGCCAGGGATAGAAAATCGACCGCTGTCTTAAATATTTTCATCCTCGTAAAACACGATACGCCACCGCAGCGTGATCGATAGCTTTAGCCGAAAACGACGAGAGGAGGACTATACATCTTACTCGGTAACGACGTATCCGATACTTTTCCCGGTCGTCGGATTAAAAAGCTCCACGGTGCACTTGGCGCATATTTCAATCGGGGCGCAACAACGTCAAAACTTGGCGTAAGCTGAGAGAGCGAGCGAGTCGAGCCGATGCCTTTTTTCCTTAACCCCTTCACGAGCCTTCAGCGATGTCGGGAAGCGAAATCTCCATGATAAAAGCGGAATAATGCTCTTTAAAAAAAAAAAAAAAAAAAAACTTTGGGATAAGCCGCGCAAATTATCGGCCGAGACGGCGGCTATTCATCACCATACGGAGTTTATGAGCTTTTAATTAGTATAATTTCCGTACGTTGATTCATCAAGCGAAATATGATAGATCTTTCCGCGTAATTGATTTTCAAAAATGAACAAAGGAACATAATGTTTATCACGTATTAAACGTGTTTGCTGTAAA